GACTTTGTTGAATAAACATGAGCACTGCACGTGTCAAAGTCGAAACCCGGTGAGGGTGTTTTTATATCACTGTATTTCTGAAGGAAACCGACTGTCTTCAGAAAATTATGGATGTCATTTTCATTTCATCTTGCCTGTAAGGCCTGAGCAGCGTTTGTGAGCGCAGCTCTTATTTGATTACAGCCATTATCGGGAAACCTCTATCTATCCCGCTCTACAAGTGCCTCCTGCTGGCAGAGAATGAATTTGCATATGTATGCTGCCACAAATAGAGTGCAAGTCTGTGGGGAAACACAGCTTCTGTTATGAATATTATTCAATATTTTTATTTGAATGTCGGATTGAAATGAACATCGCTGTTATTGGAGTAGTTAATCGTTAGCATAAACGCGACTAACGCTAATATAATGAGCATTAGAATTAGTTTCTTTATTAACTATTTAATGCTCCTATAACTTTTATTAGGGTTAAAAAACAGGAGGACTTGATGATATTGACTATTTTTACACACCAGAGGCTTTAAATTAATTGTGAATCTAAAATATGTGTGTTAGAGAATGTACAAATGGCTAACATTGTTTGTGTCATATCAGTCAGAAAAGCAGTTCTGGGCTTTTTTGTTTTTTTAGCTAACTTAGTTGTTATTCTTGGCTGTTTTAAAAGCCCTTTAAAATTAAATATGTACACAGTTTGGATTAAATGAAAGTATAGTCAAATTTTTTAATTAGCATGTTTTTGTGTTTTGCTGTGGTACCGAAATTGGTACCGAGAACCGTGGATTTTCACTGGTATTGGTACCGAATACTGATATCTTGGTACCGTGACAGCACTAGTCTGTTATTTAGAGGTGCTTTCCAGCTAAAATGGTATATAAAGATCGAATTCGAATTTTAGGTGTGCGTTAAGGAGGCAGCCTTATCAGTGGCGCACGAGATGCGATGACAATTTAAATGTCATTGCATTTTAATGTTTTTGTTAGCCTAACCAGTTGAAGCCACAAGATGCAGCGCTGCTGCATTGTTAATTACAAATATTGCGGGAAAAGAGAACATCAATGCGGAGAAGATCTTGTTTACGTAAAAACTGAAACCAAGCCGTTGACACAGAACGCATATTTTGCACATTTTCTAGAGGGACATCTATCACCGTTGCACTCGCGTCTCGCACAAGAGAGTCGCATGTTTAGAAAGCCATGTAAAATTAATGCAAGTTTAACTTTGAAAAAATATATATCTCGAGACTTTATGGTGGGTTTTTCCCCATCTGACTGCAACTTGTGTTTTTAAATGAAAAATTTACTCTTGTGTGATTGGTTTTCGGCCCTTTGTATTAAACTATGCATACATACATGATGCTGTTTTGTTTATAGTTGTTTAAGCAACTTAATTAATTATAATTTGTTTATAAACATTATTTTAAACATTATGCACTTTTTTCACGGATAGTCATGTCCGTGACTATGCTTTATGCTTTGAATGATGCGCCCTCTTGTGGCCTCAGGAGAGAAGCCAAAAGCTTTTCTTTACCCTAACTGAAACTATGCATTTTAAATTCGAATATAATTAGAATTTTGCTAATATTTAAGCACAAAATTCGAATTTAGTTTTTCAGCCATTTTGACAGCCATACTTTATACTACTACTTTCTTTTTTATTACTTTGAAGCGTCTTTGAAACAATCTGTATTATATAAAGCACTATATAAATAACTTTGACTTGACACTAAAGTTCAGCAAAGCGAGATCATATCTCAGGTCTTACCGTGTCCATTTTGTCAACGGGCGTCTGTGGTTCTCCTGCACCGCTTTTACTGTGCATGTTGGAGGGTGACATGGACCTAGAGTTTGTCAGCAGGGAAGCAGTACCATGAATAGGTTCATCATCGTCCGAATCAGGAAGCGGAACTTCCTTTCACCATCAGAGTCAAGGCTGCCTCAGTTTCCGTCCATGCTGCCCTCTCTCTCTCTCTCCCAGCACCTTTCACTTCTTTCTACTCATCTTTCCATCTCTGTCTTGCGACTCTTGCTCAAAGTGACCCTGACATGTCCTTTTCCCAGTGTCCACAGGAGTCCTGCTGTTTCACTCCTGTCAGGGGACAAGTGGCCTTTTAGCTGCGTCTCGGACCACCTATCTCACCCCCTCTCTTGGTTTCCTCAGCTGCAGGATGTCTAATACTGCATACTTACTTCAATGGGAAAAATATCATGGAAAACAGCTCTTTTGAAACACAACTATGTAGACATCCTACAGAATTCACCATGCAAATTCTACCAAAACTGCAATCCAGATTTCAAAACCATGAGAGCATTTACATAGGATAGGATAGCACATTTACATACTAATGCTAATTCAGAATTCAGCAACGGTGATGATCATTTCTAGGAATGCATCACTATTAAAAATCTAGCAGATGCCAATAACCAGATAACTGATAAAATATAAAAATGTTTCTTTGTGTAATTAGATCACAAATAAAACTCTAAAAACTTCAATTGTTTTAAATGCTACAAGTGAATTTAGGCATCACACATTATAATGTATAGTATAAAAAATTTATTTTGAGAAATACATTTTGAAATTTGCTAAAGATTACAATTAACAGTAGGGCTGTCAAAAAAAATATGAATTTCGAATAAAATTTTTCACAATTTTAGGTGTGCGTTAAAGAGGCAGCCTTATCAGTGGCGCACGAAATGCGATGACGATGTAAGTGTCATTGCATTTTAATGTTTTTCTTGGCCTATCCAGTTGAAGCCACTAGCCACGGCGCTGCTGCATTGTTAATTACAAATATTGCGGGAAAAGAGAACATCAATGCGGAGAAGATCTTGTTTACGTAAAAACTGAAACCAAGCCGTTGACACAGAACGCATATTTTGCACATTTTCTAGAGGGACATCTATCACCGTTGCACTCGCGTCTCGCACAAGAGAGTCGCATGTTTAGAAAGCCATGTAAAATTAATGCAAGTTTAACTTTGAAAAAATATATATCTCGAGACTTTATGGTGGGTTTTTCCCCATCTGACTGCAACTTGTGTTTTTAAATGAAAAATTTACTCTTGTGTGATTGGTTTTCGGCCCTTTGTATTAAACTATGCATACATACATGATGCTGTTTTGTTTATAGTTGTTTAAGCAACTTAATTAATTATAATTTGTTTATAAACATTATTTTAAACATTATGCACTTTTTTCATGGATAGTCATGTCCGTGACTATGCTTTATGCTTTGAATGATGCGCCCTCTTGTGGCCTCAGGAGAGAAGCCAAAAGCTTTTCTTTACCCTAACTGAAACTATGCATTTTAAATTCGAATATAATTAGAATTTTGCTAATATTTAAGCACAAAATTCGAATTTAGTTTTTCAGCCATTTTGACAGCCATACTTTATACTACTACTTTCTTTTTTATTACTTTGAAACGTCTTTGAAACAATCTGTATTATATAAAGCACTATATAAATAACTTTGACTTGACAGTAAAGTTCAGCAAAGAGAGATCATATCTCAGGTCTTACCGTGTCCATTTTGTCAACGGGCGTCTGTGGTTCTCCTGCACCGCTTTTACTGTGCATGTTGGAGGGTGACATGGACCTAGAGTTTGTCAGCAGGGAAGCAGTACCATGAATAGGTTCATCATCGTCCGAATCAGGAAGCGGTGTTGGGCTGATGTCCTCCAGGCCGGTGCTTGTAGGCCGCGAGGGCCGCTGGGGTGGAATAGGGGAGAGCTGAGAGGACGAGGAGGAGATTGGACTGCCGTCCATGCGAACCTCTGCATCTGAGTCGCCACGCTCGTTCAGGAAGGGCTTCAGAAGCATTTCTATGCGCGAGTCCAAGCTGTTGCGCTCGGAGTCCTGGGTCGGGGTGCCCAGCGACGGGCAGGTCTCCGGCGTGGAGGGGGGAGGCGTGGCTGGTTGGGCTTCTGGAGCAGGGGGAGGCGGCTCGGGGATTGGCGGCGTTGTGGGCCCGTCTCTGACGGGCATGAATTCGGTGCTTGGGGGTGGCGGGGCTTGAGGCGGTCTCCTATAATCCACTTCCCGCTGAGCAGGCTGGTGGAAGGAGGGCTCTGTGTGAGGGTACACTGGGGGCATTGGGGGCTGATAAGGAGAGAAAGCATTCTTGAAATTTGCACTGGCTGGTGGCGGTGGCGTGTGCGCAAAAGCAGGCGACGGTGGCTCGGGGGGCTGATGTTGCTTAAAACTGGGTGGTTGCTCTGCATTGCCACGATGTGCCCCTCCTCCTGTACCGTGGACATAGTGCCTCTCCGGTCTTCGGTTGTAGGCATCCTGGAATTTGGTTTCATGCCGTCTCGACTTGTAGCCTCCCGAAGATTCAGCACGGTTCGACTGGAACGCCGGAGTGCCCTGCCTGCTGGAATAGCTGGAGTCCTGAGAGAACGGGGTGCCCGATGGGCGCGGGGTGTGTGGGGTACCCTGGGACTGTGGCGTATCCTGCCTTAGGCTGGAGTAGGCCGTATCCAGAGACATGGGGGTGTTGGTGCCGCCTGGCGTGGCCGTGCCTCCGACTGCAGAAGAACTGCCTTCGGACAGTCTTCGCAAGGGCTGTGGACACAAAACACGACCAACTTAAACACATTTCAGAATTTCTCAATGCAACTTTTTCATAAACAAAATCACTGGTCCGGACTTTCTAATGGCATTAACAATGAACATTCTAATCAAATACACTGTATAAATATCAGTTAATGGCATTCTCTGTTTTCATATGGCCCCACTGTGTGTTAATGCTCATAACTGAAGTTAATAGTAAGTTCATAACTGAAGTAATAGTGTGCAGCTCTCTGCTGGTAGCAGTTATTATGTGCATTTCAGTTGGTGTCCATTTAACCACCTACTGAACTGATAAACTGGATTAGAGATAAAGAGGTTTCTGCTAGAGAGGGAGAGCATTTATACAGTGTACTGGTGTAAAATACCTTTTGTATTAAAATGATGTGTTAATAGGTAAAAATTAAAACTGATTTACTTGTCATGTCAAGATTATAAAAAGCTCAAAACTCTAGCATGTTATACAGTGTGCTGGCGTAAAATACTTTTTATACTAAAATAATGTGGTAAATAAAAGATTCAAACATTTTAACGCATTTAATTATTATGATTAAATATCTCAATTCTCCACATTAAAACATTATTAAATGTACATAAGAGAAATAAACTATGATTTTTAGAAATACATAATATGAGCATTTGTAGTTAAAATAAAAACTATTATTAAATAAACTTTTGCTTTTGTTCTGAATCAATTAATTGTTTTTGAACCAGTCTGAACAAACCAATTAGATAAAATGATTCCAGCTGCCTAAAGCTACTTTGATATTGCGTTCTTCCTGCAGCTGTAAATAAAAAAAAATGTCTTTAACTTTTTGTTTTGTAGTACAATCTTAAGCGTTTCGATTCTTTCTATAATAAATGTCACATGTAATAGCAGAATTTGGTTTGGTTTTGGTTTTTACCAGCAGGGCTTCAGCCAAGCTGCGTGGAGAAACTTCACAGGCCTCTTCACCACCAACTGGAAGAGTGAGCGGAGTATAACTTCCATTGATCAGACGCTGGAAGTACCTTTGGCGATGTTCACCTGAACAGTAAGATGAGAATGCACAATTCTTTGGTGAACATGATTAGTGAAATACAATGTGGGCTATATCTAAAGGACATACACATTTTATCTATTAGTTGCATTACAATCTAAGAAAAAAAGAAAGAAAGAAACAGTATACAATTGCAATTTGCATGTATTATATAATCCAACCAATTTTACATTTCATTTTGTTACATTTTCCATTTTCATTTTCAGTACATATTACGCTTTTGTTGTCGTCACAAAAACATAACAGAAAAAATAATTTCTTTGTAAATCTTAATAGAAATGTGCTTTTGCCAAATACATTTTCCGTTGCAGTACATATTAAGATTTTGTTGTTGTCACAAAAACATAACAGAAAAAATCATTTCAGTGTAAATCTTAATAGAAATGTGCTTTTGCCAAATACTATTGGCTAGTAATCTCACTTGAAAATAAAATGACTAAAACAAGTCAGTAAAATTGTACATGCTTTGCATGTTAAAAATGTTAAAACTTAAATATACATACACACACACACATATATATATATATATATATATATATATATATAAACACACACTTATTTATATATATATAGACATCATCTATACATACACATCAAGTAAGAAAATTACAGTATAATGCATGAAATGCATGCACTTTCTATTTATGTCACTGTCGACAACAAATGAAACGGTACTGTCTCTTTAAGAGAGGGGAGACCCAATACAGCTGTCATCCTGCTTTCAGGATCTCGCTTTTACAAGGTTAATGATATTCAGTGTCACAACAGTCCAAACGAAGGGTTTAACATTACCAACATTATCATTTGTCTAACAATTATGTTTTAGTCGTGGTTAACCACTTCCTATATTTTCGAAAACACACACTTTTCTTTTAAATACTTATATACATATTTTACTGAGGTTAAACAATTGCTATGTTGCTTCGAACTATAACTAAATATCTAATTGACAGTTAAAATGCTTTCGTTTCACGCAAAACGTCAAAGCAAACACATCGGTTAATCCCTCGCCCTTGCAGTTTAGTGGTTGCCAAGCAACCAACGTAAATGTTCGCACGTGACTTCATGTCACAAACAATCGATTCAAAAGTACAAACACAAGCGGTGTTTTGGTGTAATTCTGTCAGATAGCATTCCTCCGATAATATTAAAGCCGTAAACGTCCAGTTTAACGCTTACCTTTAGGGTCCAACTCCACGTGGATGATGTTGCCCATGACGGACGTGTTGTGCAAGTTCTGGACAGCGTCCTTCGCCGCCTTGACGGCCCCGAATACAACTTTAGCAATTCCGAGATGTTTTTTGGTCTTCGGATTGTACAGTATTTCCACCTCCTCAATATCGCCGAACTTCTTGCACATGTCGAGGAGGAATCCCTCTCTGACGTTGTCGTTGAGCTTGGCGAAAGTGACCTCCTTCGGGGGCACGCGACCGATGTAACACTCATCGATCTGAGGTAAAGAAAGCGATTCTTTGTAAACAGAACGTTTGGTTGAAGTCACTCAAAACGTTATCTTGCGTCCTAGACTGTTTGAATGAAAGCACGTGTCTCTAGTATTATAGCTGAAAGCAGAACGTTAAATCACTTGTTTCTGAACTCAAAAGCAAGCAACACTTTAGATATGTGAAGCGTTCCGTGGACGTCAAACGTCCTGCAGTTGGACGCTTAAAAAAAACACTCCAGGCAAATGCACACATGTGTCGGTGGGGGTGTGACTGACTGACTGACTGAACTACCTTAAATTTAGGAACCGGGAGATCAGTCTCCTTGTACTTAGTCCACATACGACCGATTCTCGGGTCTCGGACGATGTCCACTGGTGGCATGCCGGGGTTCTGCAAACAAACAAACACATTTATAAACACTTTACGTAAGGAAGTGTACTTTACACAGTCAAACCGGGCATGTCACTGTCACCAGAACGACTGCGGTACAACCAGAGCTCGTCTCTCGCTAGTATAGTTTGGAAACGAGTGGACAGTCGTGAATGTTTAGCAACGGTGAAACTCTTTGATGTGCTGTGTCAGGTGTTTACAACGCGACTGATATTATATTCAGCTCGATGTATCCGCTGTAACGGCTCGTTTCGCTCACCGGCACGCTGAAGTTCTGTCCATCGTAGCGATACACTTTGTGCGATCCCTTTTTCAACGCTGGGTCAATAATCAACTTGTAACTTCTCCAATGATGACTTCGTTTCTCTCCCGAACTGCAGATAGGATGGCTGTTCTCCATTCCGTTCGCCAAACCTAACGACGAGATGACAAAAACAGAAAGTAGCCTTCACAATCCTGACATGGCAAAGGTTGATTTTTGCACACAAACAGTAAGTTACGGTGTAGAAAATGGGGGGGCGAGGGGGTTGAAGCGATGCCCGAAACAGACATTACAGAGGAAGAAAAAACAGAAAGCTTACTTGAACTCTGTCTTCTACCGTGATCTTCATTTAGCTTATTTCTTTCTCCAGGTCTGGACATTTTGTGCCCGATCGAGTAGTTTAATACAAAACGGCTAGATCTTGAACGTTTCGCCGATCACATTACATTATTTTAAAGATACTGCCTCCTTTTTGCGAGCCAACACATATTGTGTGCCTCTAGTCTGGGGTTTCTGTCTCTCCCACAATACACCACTATCTCAACCCTCCGGCACATTCGACACGCACTTTCGATTTATTGTTTTTAATGCTTCGGCTAAAGCGGTATTTTTGTGCGGCTGTCAGAAACACGTACAAATGGAGTTATGTGCGATAAACGCGTATGAAGTGGACATATCTTGCCTTTCTAGCAGGAAAGCGAACGTTTTGAACGCGTTGAATCTGCGCGATAGATTTACGTGGACGTTAAATACAAGATGGACATGGAGGAGCAACGCTGGGGAAGGTTGTTAAAACTGAATTGGGACACGCGCTGGAAGCCCAAATGATTTGGTTTAGAAACGAACTGCGGTTTTGTTTTCATTTAAACATTTATTCCGGAATATATCTTAAGCCTTGCATTCAGAATGTGCCTGTAAAATTAACTTTCACGAGGGTTCACCCTATATAAACAAAAAATAAAATAAAGTGGTGATTATTGTGTTGAAACATCTAATGTTAGTTTTTTGTATTGTACTGATACTAGTTGTGATACATGTCTCAATCCATTCCCAACATTGTTTGATATTCTGCGGTGCTTGGGCAATTGGCTGGTTAACAGCAGTTCCCTCTCTGGCCAATCAGAGTGAAGCACCATGGTAGCTTCAGCTATTAGAAGCACAGCCTTCACTTCTTCCTACAGAGAGCAGAAAGAAGGCTGAATGCAGAGGCGCAGCCATTTTCTCCTACATTGGGACTCAATGGCCAAAATGGGTTTCCTTTGTTCCTAAAGGGATCTAAATCTTGATTTCATCAGCCTTTTATGGACTATTTAATACATACAGTGTTTCTGTTTACAGGATCTGAGAAGAAGGAAGATGAAATGTTGGATGATATCCCTTTGACATTTTTAAACTTTTTTTCTCTTCCTGGAAACCATCTTTGTCCCAGCAAACTAGGTCATGGCACACCCATATAACAGCATTTGATTCTTTAGTAAAATGCTACTGAATAAACATTTTGCATTTGATTTATATTATTACTAAATAGACTGTAAAAAGAGAGAGAAAGAAAAAAAACACATGAAAGTTACCAACTGCTTTTAAGGCCCTGCCTTGTTCAGGGCCAAGCATTAATCAATAAGTAAGTTTATCTTTATTGTCTTTGCTTATTTATCTGCAGAATAAATGTTTTAATGCTAATTAAACTGAGGCATTTTATGTAAACTGGCTGAATTTATTTTTTATTTTTAGTGCTCCCTAAGTGTCATCAGTTTTGAGCAAAGCTTTGTCTTCAGAACATTCAGTTGCATGCTGTTCTCTCTCTCTCTCTCTCTCTCTCTCTCTTAATATATCAATTTAAATTGATTGCTTCTCACATTTCAGCAAACAAGGCAGGCCATAGAGAAAAAGGACGATTGGCCTTTTGCAAAAATGCTGAATCACAGGTATGATTGAATAGGGTTTGTGGTTGTTTTAATGCTCATCCTGGTTGCGCCTCACTTTTTAAAAAAACCCTACAGCAGTACTGGTATCAAGACACGGTATTTTTTATTTTTTTATTTTTTATTTTTTAAGTAAAATGATGTTTAAAGAAATATGTGGAATTCACTTTTCTTTCATGACGTTTAAATTGGGAATGGTGTATTCCTGGTTTTACAATGGAATAGAGAAAAAGGACGATTGGCCTTTTGCAAAAATGCTGAATCACAAGTATGATTGAATAGGGTTTGTGGTTGTTTTAATGCTCATCCTGGTTGCGCCTCACTTTTTAAAAAAACCCTACAGCAGTACTGGTATCAAGACACGGTATTTTTTATTTTTTATTTTATTTATTTATTTTTTTTTAAGTAAAATGATGTTTAAAGAAATATGTGGAATTCACTTTTCTTTCATGACGTTTAAATTGGGAATGGTGTATTCCTGGTTTTACAATGGCGTGGAAATCCCTTTTTTCGATTGGTATTTTCAGTAAGTGAACACAAACTATATATCTGACCTTGCGCCAAGGGCACACTTAAATTTCATAACACTATTAGTCTCATAACAGCGTACAGCACACGCTAGAGATAATGCATAACTATGACTCTAAACATACAGAATTATCAAAACACTAACAGAGATATTTACCTTAACATTTTGTTGAAATAATTCTATCAGGCCTAAACGATGAAGAAACGGGAACGTTTTCATTCCCATCTTCGGATCCTTTAACACTGGCTTTAAAGAGGGGGTTGGGTTGCAACGCCTAAAAGGAAGAAAACGACAATAACCATTTTTCTGCCGTCGTTTTTCGACATAATTCACCATTTAACACACCTATCTGCGCAGTCTCCAACGAGTGGAGCTGCTGGAAATCTTGAGGCACTTTTAGATTTTGCAATATGCAAACAATCCCTCTCGTTCTCTTCCTGAAGACAGAATGACAAGAGAAATTCACTCGCTCTTCACCATTCAGAAGACAGAAAAAAAACTTTCCGAAGGTAATGGTTTATACGACCTTATTGGAGTAAAATGATTTGGGAATATTCTGTCTTGTTTGTTTTAACAGGTAACATTAAAGTCATATTTATCTTTCAAACTCCTTTTAAAAATACAAGTATTTTTTTCTTGTGGGGATTTATTACAATTGTCAAAAAAAAATAAAACAGATAAAGGTGTACAAATCATTATTATAGACACCTCTCATTGCTGACCTCAGAAATAGCCTGTTGTTTATTGGCTTCTCTGCTGTTCTCGTTTTCAACATGGCGTCTTCACAAGGACATCATTGTGGAAAAGAAAGGCTGCCGCCTGCGCCATTTATGGGCGAGGCTGCCGGGCGCTCTTTCAACCGATTCTGCCTTTGTACGTGGCAATCATTGCAAACACTAACTGACTAGATGTGATCAGAGGGGCTTGCCGTTTAAAAAGCGAGGATATTGCACAAAACTCGCAGAGATATCTCGTGCGTAAAACGCGCCTTCGCCGCTGCTGCGCAAAGCGCTGGAAACCCTGTGGCACAAAAACACCCAGCAGTAATCTGAGAGTTTGGACGCTTGCCACGGGTCCGGGATATGACTGCACCCACCTAGCCATTTAAGGTCGGAGAAAGACTCTCAAACACTGTGTGGCATTTCAATCAGCAAGTACAAAGGGAATATCCAGTCCTCTGTGCTCTCTCTCGTCCCCCTTTCAAGAACATTCGGTGCAGTCTATTCGCCAGCCATTCAGAGGAACATTTGACGTGATGCATGCAGGATTGCGCACTACTTATGTTTCTCAGGTCTTCTGCTGAATATATCACACTGTTGCAACACATACCGGTATGTGGTATGCAGATTTTGCACAATTTATGGCTATGTAATTTTGTATATCCTGCTTATTCCACATCTCTATAAATGTGTAGAGAACGGACATATTTATAACCCAAGCATCTCATCATTGGAATTTGGTCATTGCCTTTAGTGTTTGTTTTTTCTTTCTGTGCGTTTGGGGCGACGCCAGCTCCAATTTCTCAACCAGAATGATATTGCGCAAGGGAACGCACCTTCTTGTCTTTGGCTTTTTTTAAGATTCACGCTTATTGCATGCACACCAATACGATTTTGTCTTTATGCCATAGTCTAAAGTAGGACTGATGTCCGAATATTCCAGCAAAAAAGGACCGAAGACGTGACCACATCGTTTCCTGCCGCGCAAGGCTGAAGTGGGTCATGAGGCCATTTTATGGCACTCGTGTGTTTAATTAGGAAAATCCTCGTTATCTTCGTAACCTGCGAACGCAAGCTGTTTCTAACGGCAGGATAAGAAGGGCAGAAAAGAGATGCAGAGATCTCAGTCAACGCCAGTTTGATCTTCTTTAGGTTTTTGTTGTTGTTACCCGATATGCAGACGTGTGCGTAAAGCTTTATTTGTGCTGTGGACAGCTGGAGTGGATCCTCGACACATTTCGACACTAAACTTCGCCATTAATCATATAAGCTATGCTAACTTTTGTTTAGATCTCGAAAGGACGTTCTTGAAAAGTTCATTTTTGAGGCACTCTTTTATATGTAGCCTACTATTTTGTATATTTTTAATGTCATTTTTGTGGAGACTGGGGGTTTTTAATGCCAGCAATGTGTGTAAATGCCCTGTAATGTGCCTTTTTAATGTCAATCTAATTTCCCACAAGAAATCTGAGGAAATACTCAACAGATCCTGACGACGGTTCGCGATTGCATTTCTCCTCATGTACAATTATTTTAGTAACATTTTCACTTTTTTTTAATTTTTTTTTTAGAATTGAGATAAATATGATTGTAACATTTAATAATATGGTAAGTATATATACACAGAGACGTTGCACTCAATTAACTGCTTTTATGGTTGCAATAAATATAACTGTTCTTAAATATAAATATAGTTTTGTATTTATTAACAGAGGTTTCGTGTTTTTTTTTTTTCATTTCTTCCTCATCTTCGCCTAATTAGCTGTTTCCTCGAAACGAAGCTGACGTTCTGTTGTAACATTCATTTACATTTTCATTACATTTCGCTGTGTGTGAACTGATTTATAACCGAACCAAACAGGCCCATATCGCGGAAAACCAGCACCTTCGTTTATCGCTGCTGCTGTCTGTCCTTCATTAATGGATATTAACGACCTTTTTATTTATGGACCGCAAAAATCCATATAAATTATTTTACGAGAACACAGTGGGCTTTTATAATTACTTTTTGCAATTTCTCTCCCTTGCCATGTTTGGAATCAGTAAATGCTAACAGTTCTGTGACAGAGACAGTCATGCCGCCTCCTATCTGTGAGAAATGAGAGGAGAAAGACAACAACCTTTTTCTAGCCTCATACAGGAACATAGTACTGCTCTCATTGGCTGTGACGGTGTGGGGGATGCATTAACTGACACCTATTGGCCATTTGTAAAATAAATTAAGAAAGGTTTGCAATAGGCCACTCGCAGGAGCACGGTTTTGCTTTGAACAACGGCCTTTATCTGGTACTACATGGTTTCGCATATAGTTTTGCTTTGTATTAAAGACCATACATTTTCAAGATGAATGTCACTATTAAGCAGATTAATTAAGTACCATCTTAAAAGATCCAGTCCTTGATATGTTCTTTTGTATAGTGTTTATTTTGTAGGCTATTCATAAAAATAAAAAAAAGTTAAAACAAAGTCAACTTAAAATCATTTACTTAACAATGATTAAGTAAATAAAGAATCAAGAGACATTAACTTTAAAATTTTAGTATTTTGTAAATGTATAATTTTAATAATGATAACAATATAATGATACATGGTGCATTTTTACAAAACTGCAATGCTATTTTGACCATTCAGCATCCACGACCAGATATATATATGTGTATGTGTATGTATGTATAATGTGTGTGTGTGTGTGTGTCTGTGTGTATATATGTGTATGTGTGTGTATATATATATGTGTGTGTGTATATATATATATAATATATATATATATATATATATACAAATAAAGTGTAAGGATTCAGGACCTTACCAAACTTACCATGATGTGCTACTGAGACATGATTCACAATTGTCTCAGAGGGTTCATCTCAAAATAATACATGAAAATCTTTTTAAAGTGGTAATTTGAACTAAATCATTTTGCATTTGACATTGTAACTCTATTATTTTTAATGTTTTTAATAATTCTTACTAATATACAAGCGAGGCGTATGAAATCTTCCAGTTGGTGTCTCATCAGTTATTTTTGACCTTTTCTTTGTTTTTCTGGAGCTTCTGGTGGACCACTTTTAAAGTAGTGAGGAAATTTCCCAAGAACAGGACGAGAAATGTCAAGGCCAACATGAACACCTGAAAAATGAAATATTTAAACGCAAATTCGATCTGCAATACTGGCAAAATTAATAACAGTACAGGATGAGCAATGTGCAGAAGATTAATACTTGGGGATTGAAGCAATAATAGTGATGTTTGGCAACTTCAGACACTCTCTTTACCTGCCATTCCTTGCAGTCATCACGGGCAGATAGCTTAAAGAGAGTCACAGCATTGTACAGCTGCCAAAACTGACCAGAGGAGAGAAAACCAACACATTTATCTTATATGACTGTCAACTGAATCAATATATGATACTGTTCAAATGTTTAGGGTCAGTACTACTGTTCAAATGTTTAGGGTCCATACATTTTTTAAATGTTTTTAACATTCCGTTTAAAACCCTCACATTTACATGTTATGATCTTCATAGATGTCACACTGTACAATGCATGAAACCTTTCAGACAACTTATTTTTAAGGTGACTGTAAAGTTGAATAGGAAAAAAAAATGAAAAGGCAACACTTAAACTCACATGGCCAAAGAATAGAAATGGAAGGAGAAATGTAAGCCCCCTCCACATCCATGATTGAAAGCCCTCTGTAAGAGTAGCATGAGAGGTTAGTCTGGGCTCTGACTTGATTACTTACAACAGAACAGCAATGCATTTTATGGATGACCGTTTCGTGAACCTAGGAGAGGAGGTCATTCTGACTTTGTCTGGCGCTCTGGCGCTTCTGAATCAGCTACTGTTTTGTTATTAGTTTAAGTATTTGCGGAGTTTTGCACATCGTGTGTGTGTGTGTGTGTGTGTGTGTGTGCGAGAAAGAGAGAGACCAGCTTCATCACTGTGTCTGTCACGCAACTCTGTTCTCCTTTCGGGCTCTATCTTTACATTTATTTTGAAAGATGAAGCTCACGATTATGGTAAGGGGCGTTACATTTCCGACGAGTGCTTGCGGTGTTCGGCCAATCACAATGCACTGGGTCAGCTGGCCAATCAGAGCAGACTGCGCTTGTCGGAAGGAGGGACTTTGTAGAAAACTAAGCGTTTGAGAGAGGCGGGGCATAGAGGACCTACAATAATGTACAGTATTTGAAAAATAATGTGTTTTTTGAACATTAAAGCATGTCAACATATTCTGTTACACCAAATACACAAAATAATGATCGTTAAAAAAGCATCGTATGACCCCTTTAATATATAACTATAAAACTATAGTTCTTTGATTTGTACCATAGTACTAAATATTTTTGCTCAAGGTTTTTACATGGTACACCAGGGTACTACCATGGTATATATCCAAAAACAACAACAACAAAACCCCCAAAGTATTACCTTGATACCTTGGCCTAAAAGGTACTTTTTGTAGTATTCAAACCCCAGGAACTTCATGAACTTCCCCGTGGATGGATAACAAGAAACATGGTAATATTTAATGGATTGAATATTTAATGGCATGTTTTAAACATTACAGGCCTTGAGGATCACAGTAAGAAGCCTGGCAGTTTTAATAGACGAGCCTTAATTTAATATACTTTGTTATTGAGATGTGTTCTGCAGATTTCATTACACTATGTGTTCCTAGGAAACGCTGCTTATCATTTACATTACATTTACATTTAGTCATTTAGGAGACGCTTTTATCCAAAGCGACTTACAAATGAGGACAATAGAAGCAATCAAAACTAGCAAAAGAGCTTGATTTGGCAGAATGATTTCCCCTCCAATAACAAAATGTTCCTGAACGTAGCTTTTGCTCTGATAAGGAAAAGGGACACAGGTTTGGAAGAAAACAGGAATGATCTATGATGGGGACTGGAGGTGTGGAAAGAGAGAAGGCTATGGAACCCTGAGCAAGACTGACCCTCAAACCAAAGAGTATGTGAGGGTTTATATTGGTTCTTGGCGAAATGACAAGAAGGAAGTAAGTATCACACACTGTTCGTCATCATACGGTCCAGAGTTTCCACATATAAATTGTCGGCCTTTCGCTCAAAGGGTGCTGGGACATATTTCTACAGTCCGTCTGCTTTCTATGAGGGGCAGTGGAAGGAAGATCAGAGGAGTGGATGGGGACAGATGCAGTATGAGAACGGGGAGCTGTATGAGGGAGATTGGCTGAAGGACAAACATCACGGACAGGGTTTGCTTCTGCTAGGTACGGACTTAAAACTGTTCACGAATGAGCCAGCTTGGTGGATCTCACTAAAACATGTCCAGATCACTCACATTTGTCACAAAAAAATACAAATGTATATATATATTTTTGTATTAATAAACTGAAGCCCATTTTTAGGACAATTAACAGCATTGTAACATTATTTTTCATGACAATTATGTGCACAAACTTTATGCAGAATTGTTTTTTTAAATCAGCATAAAATCATAACCACAAACACTACACTATATATATATATATATATACTATGTACTTTTCAGGATTCTTTGATAAATAGAAAATTAATTAGAAGAGAAAATTAATTAGAATATGAATGTCTATATGTTTACTGTCACCTTTGATCAATTTAATGCATCCTTTTTGAAAACAGTGTTCATTTCTTTCAACATCATTACTCACTTCTATGTTGTACATTTCAGTGTTAAACCATGGGAATATAATATGACAATGCATCAGTCATTATAGGTCAGTGTAACCTTAGTTTGCTGAACCATGTGCAATCTGTCAGTCAGCGGCTCTTCTCAAAGCAAAACACATCCCCACACACTACACTATATATATATATATATATATATATATATATATATATATATATATACAATAATGCATACAGACACGCACGCACACACACACATATAATTTAATGTCTATAATGTCTATCATAAATAATACATTTAAATGTTTTATTTAGAATTATATTTTATTTAAATGTATTTGTATATATTTAATGATATAGTGTGTGTGTGTGTATATATATATATATATATATATATATACGTATATATTAGTGTACATTAGTGCTGTCAAATCGATTAATCCAAAATAAAAGTTTGTTTCTGTAATATGTGTGAACTGTGTATATTTATATATAAATGCACGGACACACATATACTAAGAAACACATACATATATTTCAGAAATATTTACATGTATATATATGTATTCATATTTATATGATTCATGGTATATAAATATATATTACATATATTTCTTATATACATGTATGTGTGTATATTTATAAACAGTACACACACATAATACATAATGCATTTATATTTATATGAAATTATTTGTATTTAAATTTATATTTAAGTTTATATTCAAATATTTAAGTTTGTATTAATGCATTTTTTGCATTATGGTCATTTGGTTTTTATATATCATAAATAATAATACGATTTTATTTAGCATTACATTTTTTATATAATAAACTTGTATATAAAAGATAGGAATTATATTTTTTGCATTACGGTAATGAGAATGGGGGGGAAGTGTTCTTAATTAAAATGATGTAATGCAAATAATCTTAATTGTCCTAAAAATTGGCTTAATTTTCTTCTTGCAGAATTTTATTTTTGTGCTGTGAATTATTAACAAGACATTTGTAATCTTTTTTTGTAAAGCTAATGGAAACCGCTTTGTGGGCACCTGGAGCGACGGACAGAAAAACGGACACGGCAAGTTCTTCTACCTGGACAGAGGTCAGCTGTACGAAGGCTTTTGGGTTGACGGCGTTGCTAAGTGTGGAACCATGTCTGATTTTGGGAGAGAAGCAGCGGTTAGACCAACAGTGCATCCAATTCCCAAGGTAAATGATTAACACTGATGTTTGCTCATTTGCATGATTTCCATTTTAACAGTAATGCATGAAGCATTACCGAGAATACAAGCTTTCAGTCATAGGTTCTGACCACTGTAACAGCAAACAGCTCAGCTCGTTTTGTCAATTTGCATGGTTTATTACCTAATGCAGATTCAGAAACGTTGTGCATTACAGCTCTGCTTTTATGTCCAAAGGTTTGCCTACAGGATTCACAGGCTGTGCTGATAGATGCACGAGCATATTTCACTGAGGACAAGGAGAAATCAACAGAGACCACGATTCCAAGTCATACCGTTGCTAGGCAATATGTACCTTGACAATATCCTGAAGTCAAGAAAGGCAGACTAGTACAGTGAAATATGTTTTATCAAGCCCTCACTCACAATAAAAACACTATCACACGATACAGAAAAAGCTGTTGGCACATTATGCATCTTCTAGTATTTAACTAAATGCTCATTTTGGCAAGAAATGCATGTCATACATGATATAAAAGAGCACAAAAAGGAGTTTGGTTGCAGTTGGTTTGAGTAAGACTTTAATTAAAATGTATAAAACTGAGTTTTTAATTTCCAGCACACGCTGTGCACTAATAAAAAGAGCTTCTGAATCAAACTTGACACACAACATAGATATTATTTCACATACTTTGGAAAAAAAAAATCATTGTATTTCAATTTGGCAATACTGAACATGTAAATTAAATGTTGTTTTAGTCATTTTCGTCAATGCTGCTGATGTAACTACATGCATAAATGGTTCTCTGCTTAATAAACACGTTGTTTAAAATGTGTTCGTTAGCATAATCGCACAATCCTGCCAGCTCTTTAGCCGTGACGGCTCTAAGCACTTGTGTCCAACTTCAGAGTGAACAGAGGCCCTTTTAATGGGAAGCCGTTTCAAATACAACCAAAAAATGTCAGACAAACATGTTGATAAAGTGCCTTTGTTTCTTCCAAAATGTGCTCATTCAGGGGGAAAAATAGAGTTTGAATAAGACTCTGATTTTGGTTGATTCAGCTGTTTAACAGCGAAGCCATGATTCAGAACGCATCAAAATGACTTGGTCAAGCGGACATAAAAGTGTCCCCTGCACTGTAATAACTTCAAACAAGCCTCTGATCAGTGTTTAAAAAAATTGTTTTTGTAATATAAACTCATGTCTGTAAGAATGTAGCTTGCATTGTGATAAAATAACAACCTGTTGTAAGTAACAGAACTGGCACAGCTGCCATACTGAAATAAAGGATTTTCCCTGTGGTGAATTAAAGGAACAGTTCACCAAAAATGAAAAATTGAAAATTTACTCAACCTCAGGTCATCCGAGATGTAGATGAGTTTGGAGCAGATTTTAGAAATTTAGATTAGAGAAATTTAGTATTACTTCATTTGCTCACCAATGGATCCTCTGAAGTGAATGGGTGCCGTCAGAATGAGAATCCAAACAGCTAATTCACACCACTCCAGTCTATCAATTAACGTCTTGTGAAGTGAAACATATTACTTTAAATGGTCGCTTCTTGCCAAAATACAAGTCCATAATCCATACTAACGCTTCCTCCAGTGAAAACATCTATCCCCTATTGTCCTCTCACATAAACATTCACTGACATATTTGTTTAGATCTGTTTTGATTTGTAAACGGTGCTTGATCTGTGCATATTTCTCTCCTTATTCAGATGACGTTTCACTGGAGAAAGCAATATTATGGAGAAAGGACATATTATAGTAATATTTGTATTTTATATTGTAGTTTAAAACGTCTTAACAATGGATTACTTGTGGATTGCTGTGATGTTTTTAATCAGCTGTTTGCACTCTTGTTCTGACGGCACCCATTCACTACAGAGGATCCACTGATGAGCAAGTGATGCAATGCCGAATTTCTCCAAATCTGTCCAGATGAAGAAACAAACTCAAATACACCGTTGATGGCCTGAAGGCGAGTACATTTTCAGAAAATGTAAATTTTTGGGTGAACTATTCCTTTAAGAACAGAAAAAAATGAAAAGAAAATCTCCATAAAACATGCAGTGCATGCTTTCACAGTTTTGACTGGTATTAGTAAATTATTACTACTATGTTAGAAAATCTAGCAGAAACAGTGGACAAATTCTCAACACATATAAAACTGGACACTTTGGTGTCCACATGCAACAGATAGATCAATACTACGGTCGAAAATACGGTGTGTTGCAACACTTGACAAACCTAAAACATTAACAGAAGCTCTTTCCCAAACTCAAAACTAGGGGTAAAGGGAACTGGGAGACTGTAAGGTAGACGCCTCCCCTCGATGGTCCAGTTCGTTCTGTAAGTCTTCCAACTCTTCTAACTCTTGAAACTGCCTGTCGGTTTTGTGGCTGACCAGCGAGCGGTAGAAATGCACAGCGAAGACGATAAAAACCAAGCCGAAAGGCACCATGATGGAGGTAGACGTGATCGCAGCAGCCACCCCGGCGGATATAGTACCGTTTTTCTGGTCCTTCGGCTTAATGGGTAAAAACTTGACCCAGCACAGCAGGACCACCTCGGCCAGGAAGAGCAGCGTTCCAATGACTGTGGAAAAAGCCCAGGCCAGCTCGATGTGGCAATGCATTCTCTCGTGCGGAGACTCCTTCACAGAGTTGAGGTTGTGCACGTTGCTGACCGCTTCGATATTGGGCAGGATGCAGGTGCTCACCATGAGGGCGAACAGGTGGACGGCCACCAACACAGTGGTGCAAGCGCTGAAAGCGATGAGCAGTCCTGGGGGATAGTCGTGATTGGTGTCCAGCTGTACTTCCACCATGGCCACCTGTGGAATGAAAGGAAAACACAGGTAAAATACAGTCCTTGAACCCAACAAATATTGTACTGTAAAATCAGTCATTATAATGAAAAAAAAATGGAGTGAATTTTTTTAAACTGATAATCTACTCCATAAATTGAAATTTCAACACCATTTGGCAGAAAACCTTACTGTGCTGACAAAATAAACTATTTTATGTACCACGAAATATATTAAATGTTGCTGGCTATAAATAGAGTAACACACACTATAATTAAAAATAAAGATAAATGATATATAAAATCATTGACATTTATTTATTAGTAATAAATATGTATATAATAATATGTAAATAAATACCATTTAAATATTTTTGTATATATATATATATAAACGGATATAAAATAAAAAAGTTTTTTAAATTGATCACATTTTTAAGCTGATCTATCTATCTATATGGAAAGTGTTTACATTTGATTTGAAGATTTTTAAAGCTTTTATACACAAATAATTATTTTTAAACAAATAAAGAATAATTACATTAAACAAATCTTGCATTTTAGGTTGTAAGAAGATTTGAATGTGAATGTAAAGTTGTACATGTGCAAATGAAATCAAGAATAGCTTTGGCACTGAATTAAAGTGCACTGCAGTGGAAGACTCAAGAAGTTGTTGAGATTTTTTTTGCTGCATCCGGCGTTATGCTTCTCGTGATGCTCTTTATATACATAAATTATATACAAAACTGCTGATTTTTTTACTAAGTAAAAATCTAGCTGAGCATTAGCACGAGCTAAACAACTGTGGCTGTCAGTTTGTGATTGCAGATGCATCATAGACTCGAGTCATGCGCGTTTTAAAGCCAAAAGCTTCGCTTAAACTTACACAACACTATTAAACACGCGCTTTCTCTTTAACGACTCAGTGTTTATACCGCCGGTGCAAACTGAACATCCACAGCACTAAATAAACAGACGCGAAAAACAACTCACCATTGCGAACCCGGATAAAAGAGCAGACGTGCGACTGGACGCCTTGAGTTTGGCTCTGCTCAGATAAAGCTTTCTCCAGGACAGAGCCTGCAGCGAATGCTCGTTCCGACTCATGTTCATGCGAGCGGAGATTGTGAGAAACTATCCGAGAGATTCAGCGGAGCCGGAGCCGGAGCATTGCGCTGGGTTAATGGTGAATCTCCAGCGCTGCGCCTGAACGAGACAGTCAGCTGGCTTGCTCAAGTGAAACTGGATGCAGCGCGAAGGCATTACCCACAAGCCTTCGCGACAACACATGAAACTGAACGATCGATGTATATGCCACAAAATTAAGAACAAAAAAAGCTGTTTTGCCACTTTTTTGGGGAAATTATTTCTCTTATTGGTGTGTGAACATAACAGAATCGATGTAGGTGAATATTTTGTATCGAATACTTTCTCAACAAAATATAATAATTATTATATCTATTTGAATATTTATTATTATTATTGTAAAATTATTTGTAAATGGCTCTTTTTTAAATTTAATTTCATATGTATGCACATGCACGTTTTTATACAAACATGTTTTTTACATTTCTCATACAAATATAATTTAATTTTAGTTAAGGTTATAAATCATTTAAAGGGGTCATATGATGTTGCTAAAAAGAACATTATTTTCCACATACTGTACATTATTACTGTGATTGGCCAGCTATCCAGTGCGTTGTGATTGGCTGAATACCTCAAGCGTGTGACGGAAATTTTACGCCCCTCACCATACCGTGATGTCTACATTTGTGATCGGAGAAATGACAAACAACGAGTGCTACTATACACTGCCCAAAAAACTCGTGTTTGAATCGTCAGTGGCAAATTCTTTAAATATAAAAAACGTATTTACAGTCTGTGAGTCAGAACAGCCAGCATTGTAGTCTACTCTACCAGGATCAGGAAACAGTCCTCCATAAAATGTGTTGCACACATCTGAATATTTGGGTTGAAGTGTTCTGGAACAGTGTTGTAGATATAACTTAACCACTGATTTCTAGTCGTGTCCTCTTTTGGAAGACCAAACAAAGTAGTTTCGCTTTTACAACGAAAAAGCTGGCCTCCGCTCATGCGGCCTTGAGTGAGCGGAGGCCAGAGGCCTACAGTGAGCCGCGGCCTAGAGTGAGCAGAGGCGAGCGGGCTTGAGAACGATGCGGCCGGCGGATTCGACGAAGGAGCGTCCGGAGGGCTTGCGGCAACCACATGTG